ACTGAAAATTCCCTCCTGGTTCTCAGCTCTTTCCCCAGACGAACGGTCGTCACTCCCTCTCCCCGGGGTGTCTGGGCTTCCGGTCGGGGAGATGGATGGTCCCTGGACCACCGGATTCAAACTGGTGTGTGTGTGTGTGCTTGTGTGTCTTGCACATTCAGTCTTACAGTTTGGAGACTCGGTGACAAGAGGGAAAACAGCAGAGAGACCCTTTCTGTACTCACGGCCCCCAGTGCACGCCCACGCCCACCCCCACCCGTGCCCCACAGCTGCTCTGATGTCCCTGCTCACCGAGGGTGGCACTTGCTGCAGTCACACCGTCCTCACCAACGGTCTTTCTCCCAGGCCGACCAACTGCGTGATGCCAGGCCCTACCATATTTGAATCGATGACTCAACTCAAGAATTAAAATTAGCAAGGCAAGAAAATTCCAAATGAGGTGAGAAAGCTGTAGAGACAGTTCCAGATCCCCTAGTACTGAGCCATTCAATATCATTTCTGATGACAGGACAGAGCTAGGAACATTCCATGTGGGTGTGAGTCTTTTTCATACGCGGGGAGCTGAGTTAAGTTTTCTAATTTTTTTAAAAAGAAAATAATACATGAATCAGGAACAGTGACTTGGGCTTTAACCCGTTGCAGGCTGCAGCTGTGAAGACGGCAGGCCGGGGGACCTCGTAGATCTCCTAGGACTTGCCCACGCTCCACGCAGGTGAACGAGAGTCAGGTCGACTAACCTATCAAGCCCAAGTGTCACTGACAGAAACAAATAAGGTGTCGATGGTGTCATGTCTGAATGTAGGCAAAGGTTGCTACATCCAGTTCCTGCAGAGAACCAGCCAAACAATTGTTAAGAGGCCAGTGTTGTGGTCCCGCCCCTGATGCACCCCCCCCCCGCCCAAATCTAGCAGGCAGAACCTTCCTTGACTGTCTCTGGCACTTAAATTTGCTGTAATTTCCACGAATGACATGAAATAATTCCAGGAGATATGCCAGGAAGCCCAGAAGACCTCTTTGGTCTTTTTATGCTTCTGGATGTGATGTCTCCTGGAGCTTCCAGGACTGGAGCGGAGCAGATCAGGGCCCCCTTGGGAGTCTCATTAATGGGAACGTAAATAGGATTTGCTTAGTATCTCCACTGCGGTTTCCTCGAAAGTTAAAACAAGTCAATCCACCAATCAGGTCGATGCATTTTATTTATCTCCATCTTCCCGGTCAATAGCGTTTATAGATCCCGAGGAACAGGAGTCGTTTGCTCCTGCGCTGGCCCCACACCTGTGAGTAAGGAGAGACTCGCCTCCGCTTTGCACAGATTTTCTGCAGAAACGCTGGGAGCTCCCACGTCTTCTGACACGAATCATCTTGATTCTTTCCACATTTTTGTAAACACATAAAATATAACAGCTCAGAAGGCAAAGAACATGGTAGAATCTCCTAAAGACTCCACCTCAGCGAAGAGGGAAGGGTGAGAATTCTTCCAAGATTTTGAAACAAGAAGCCCTGCCGGGTGGGGAGGGTCATGGGCCTGTGTCACCTGTCCCCACCGGTGTGTCACGGGCAACACACAGGGCCTCAGCGTTCCACACGGGATTAATAAAAACGCACCCTGATTTGACGAAAGGATTTCTGATCTTCGAACTGTTCCTCTAAAAGAAATTTAAAGTGTCTGGGAATGCGGGGCATCGTCTGCCGGAATGCACTGTGAAGCTAGAAAAAGGAGAGCAGGAAAATATTTGTGAGTTCAAAAGCTTTTTGATGTCTGCTGTCCCCTGCGCCCCACCCCCCCTCAAAGACAGTGCAGCAAAAATGCCCTTCCTTTCCCTGATTCTCGTCCCCCCCCCCCCCCCCCCCCCGGCCTGGGGTCCAGCACACAGTAGGCCCGCTGCAGGGAGTTGCTGGAGAAGTGAGTGTGAAGTTGTGTCCCTTGGCGGACCACCCGGCACCTGCACTTTTCCCTTTATATTTTCACACGTGAAGCACCTGTATCCCCTCTCCGCCTTATTGGGGATGGAGGGGATTTCATTCTACGCAAAGCCTTGGGAGACCAAGGGGTGGGGTGTGTGTGCACACGCGTGCGTGAAGCGACCTTCTCAGAAGGGTACTGGGTCCCCTGCCTGCCTGGGGTCCAGAGGAAGGGGAAGAGATCAGGCCGTGGCCGGAGCCCCGCCACCCTCTTCTCGCCCAGCCCGCCTGTTGTCTGGGCACCGAGAGAGTGGAGAAACATTAGCCCCACAGCCAGCTGCCTAAGCGGGGCGGGGTCTAGGGAGAGGTCAAGGTCGGCGGAGAGGCGGCTATTGATCCGGCTTGGAACGCGAGACAGGGAGAGCAGCAAGACTAAAGGGGGAGCTGTGAGACCAGACATTAACAGCTTTCTGCGCTAATGGTGCCCGTGCCAGACGGGCAGAGGGAAAAAAAGGAGACTGGAGCGGCAGCTGGGATTGCTCGCTGCCTGCGCCTGGCTGCCTCTCCGGAGAGAAGGAGGAGGAGGAGGAGGAGGAGGGCGCAGGGGCCAACCCTGGGCTGGGCAGGGCCAGGGCCGCCTCTCCCCCGCCGCCGCGAGGTGGAGCGCGCCGGCGGGCGGTGGCGTGTCCGGCCCTGCGCCGGCCGGCCCGCCCGCGCGTCCCTCTTCCCGCCGTCGGGGCAGCGCGGGGCCAATGAGGAAGCGCTCCTGTGTCTGTCTCGGCCCCTGCCGCCCCCTGCCCGCTACTTCCTGCCGGGGTGGGGCGGAGGGTGCCCCCTCCCCAGACCTCGCCGCCCCAGCGCGCCGGAGGTGGCAGCTGCTGCCCGGGCCCCTGAGCACCCCACGCAGTCCCCGGAGGGGCCTCTTTCTTGAAGGGGGCAGCCGCGCTCCTTGCCCAAACTCAGCCCCTTCCCTGTTATCAACCCCCAGAGGGCGAGGGTCCACGGTCTGGATTTCGGGCGCCCGAGAGCAGGCAGGCCCAGGGGATTTGAGTCCAGACCTGCCCCCACGCGCTGTGTGACCTTGGGCAAAACGCTAACCCTCCCTGGACTTCACAACGCCAATTCTCAGAAAGAGCGCTAACTGCTTTCTCAAATTTAGTAATTGGGCGAGTTGGGATGGCCGGTTTATGGTTTTCTTAAGAAGTTTATTGAAGGTGCGTGTGGGCATTTTTTCCTATTTAGGCCACTTTTCTGGAAAGATTTTCGGTGTGGGGCGGCATGCAAGGAGAAGGAGGTACTTCTAGACTTTGGACCGCGTGGAGGTGGGGTGTGGGTTGGGGGTGGTGAGCAGCTGCGTGTAGTCCCCGGGGAAGAGGTGGGGAATGCCGACTCGCCCTACCCCACCCCCCTCCACCCGCTGTGCGGAGGACCCTGCAGCCCATCTGAAATGCTACATGCTAGGGCACATTTTATTGTTATTATTGGTGGCGGGGGGGGGGGGGGCGGAGTCATTTGGGCAGGGAGCTTTTTCTGTCTTCGCTAATGGGCGCTGCGCGCCTTTAAATTGTTAGCATTGTCGCCCCACCTAAGACCTTGGGGGCGAACCAAAAACCAGTGTGCCCCCCGAAGGAAAAGGCCCTGAGGGAGTCTGCGCGCCCGGAGGCGTCACAGCCCAACCCCTGGTTCGGTGAAGCCGCCCAAGCCGGGCCTGGGGGTGGGGTGGGGTGGGTGCAGCTAGGTTAGCCTGCCAAGCCCAGCCCGCAGCCAGGCCCCGACCCGCCCCGGCCTCCTCCCGGCCCGGACCAGAGAAGCCCTGAGAAGGGAGAGCGCTGTAGCCGCGTGGTGGCCCAGCCCCGGGAGTCGAGTCATCAAGTAGACAGAATTGGCCGTGGCCTGGGCCGGGAAGGGGCCTGACCACGCAGACCATGGGCTGACCTTGTCCCCGGGCCACAGGTCAGGCCCCTACCACTCATCCTGTCCTCGCTGGCTGGAGACCGCAGGAGTGACCAGGCAGCTGTGTCTTTCCCTCTCTGACCGGCGATTTCAAGTCTTGCCCTGGGCGGAGCAGCACTTGGGGGGAGGGGGCGTTTTTCCAGGTCGCAGTAATTGTCAGGGGTGGGAGGGGATCGGGGGACCGGAGTATCTTCGGAGATCTGGCCACGCTTACTTCAGGGTCAGCGCGCACGGGTTCCTCTCCCACGTGGAGCACCTCTACTCCGGCACCCCTACACTTCCCACAGACCCTAAGAGGGCGGGGACATGTTCGGCCCCGAGGAGTTAAAGGGGTGAGGAGGTGGGAGCGCACAGAGTGCGGCGAACACTCCTTCCGGAATGGGACTCGGACAAGGTGTCACGTTCCTCCTCCCCCAAGTGTGCTCTGAATTCTCTTCCCTTGGTATCTTTCATTTTGTCCACTTGGCTCTCCCAGCGTTTGTACTATCAGGATTTACAGGGAGACACTTTTTGGAAGTTTAACCCCATGCCCCAGTAAAACAAAAAGTAGAAACAGCCAGGCTACTTTCCGCGGAGATGAGCAGTTGACCATCTCCCCTGGTCGCGGTGCCCACCCCAACCCTCCTCCGCAGCTGCCCCTCCCGCTCCCCCCTCGGCCCCCCGCAAGTCCGAAAGACCTTTCGGTGGGCGGGGGGGGGGACTGGCCCGGATTCAAGTTCCACACACACCGCACTCCGCCCCCCTCCTCAGGGGGTCCTGTTCCCTGGAGGGGAGGAGGGACAAGAGGATTTTCTTTTATTTAAAAATATCCTGCCCACCGTCCTCCTCCCCCTTTAGCGCTGCCAGTGCACGCGGAGGAGAGTAGTGCACGGAAACGCCGTTTGCACGTGTGGCCGGCCTGGACTGCGGGTGTGCGCACGGGCGAGTGTGTGTGTGTGGGTGTGTGTGCGCGCGCGCGCCAGAGAGAGTGTGTCTCTGTATGTGTGTGTGTGCTTTCTTGTTCTCTTACAGGGTACAATGTTAAAAAGCCACCGCTAGTCGCCCCCAGTGCTCCGACTCTCTGGGTCTTTTTGTCTCTCTAGTGCAGATTAAACGTCACGTCCGCACTTGAACTTGAATTTTATCCCATTGTACAGAGGCAGCCCCAGCCATAGAGAGACCGAGAGCTCCCAGAGAACCCGGACTCCGCCATCTTCACGTTGCAATCTATAGCTCCCAGTCCGCGCCCGCACCGACCCAGGCGCACTGGGCGAGCCGCCCCTCGGCCCAGCTCCCCCCGGGCCCGCGGCGCCAGGGGAGCGCGGGGGAGCGCTCGCGGGGACCCGGCAGCCTCTCCGGCCGGCGCCAGCCTGCCAGGTGAACTGGGAAGGAGCCGATCCTGGAGTCCCCCCAGAGCCTCGGAAGGGTCAGGCTCCGAGAAAAAACCAGGCAGCCCGCAGGAAACCCAGAAACAAGCAAACCCGGGCAGTTTTACATTGCTTCGGGTTTTTTTGAGGGGGCGGGGTAAGGGGGTACGAGACAAGTCCCCAAGTTTTCTTTGCTTTCTTTTCTTTTTCTTCCTTTATTTTTTATTTGTTTGCATTTTTTTTCTTTCCCCCTCTCCTGGTAGAAGTGCGCTTTCCACCTACCAGACCCTGAAAGAAAGTGTCAGGAGCCGGTGCAAAATCCGGTTTAGTTCAAGAAGACATTTGGAAGTCCAGGAGGCCAAGCAGTTTGAAGAAGTGCAAAGGATTTTTTTTTTCATTCTAAAGAACATATTTTTAAAGAAACCAGCCAGTCGGCGGCAAGCCAGAAACAGCAGATTTTTTTTTTTGCCTCTTTCTCATATTTTAGATCGAGGGTTTTCTTTCCTTTTTATTATCTTTTTATTTTTGCAAACAAAGCAAAAAACAGCATAGAAGAAGGAGCAAAATAAAGAAGAAGAGGAGGAAGAGAGGGCAAGAGAGGAAGGGGGAAAAAAAAGCCAAAACACCAACCCGGGCAGAGGAGGCGGCGGCAGCGGCGGCGGCGGCGGCGGCGGCGGCGGCGGCGGCAGCGGCAGCAGCTCGGACCCCCTCCGCCGGCTCCCCTCATCAGAGCAGCTCTCCGGGCGATGCCAGAATAGATGCCGGGGCAATGTCCCGCCGCAAACAGGGCAATCCGCAGCACTTGTCCCAGAGGGAGCTCATCACCCGTAAGTGTCTGCGGCGTGCGCGCGAGGGGCCGGAGGATGGGGCTCCGGACGCCCGGGGCTGGGGACAAGGAGCCGGGTGCAGCCAGGCCGGGCGCCCGGGCGGCCCGCGAGATCGCGGCAGCAGCGGCGTCGGCCCAGAGCCTGGTGGGGGGCCGGGGGGGCCATAGGAAAGTTTCTTTGCATCCCGGGGACTCGGGGCGCTGCGCAGTCAGACGCGCCCCGGGCTCAGGGGCCTGCGGAGCGGGTGCTGGGCCGGGGAGGGGACGCGCAGGCTGGAGGAGGTGTGTAGGTGCGCGCGCGGAGCCCGGCCGGACCCTAGTCCCTCCGAGCTGCGTGTGTGGCGGCGGCGGCGCTGGTGGCGGGGTTTGCAGAGGAGGGGGAGGGGGCTGGCGGAGAGGAGGGGGAGGGGGAGCCGGGAAGTGGGGAAAAGTTGGCGAGCGCGTGGGTCCGCGCGGACGGCGCGGGCGGAGGAGCGCGGGGTGCGCTCGGGGCCGGGGGAGACGCTGGTCGCTCGGCAGCCGTCCTCCCCGAGGCTCCCGGCCGCTGCGCCAGGCCGGGCAGGGCTCCGGCCGCGCGGGTCCTGGGATTTCGCGGCCGCTTTTCTCGCCCCTCCTCTTGCTATTTGCAAAAGAATCCAGCTGCGCGGCTGTTTGCCGGGCTCTGGCAGCACCCCCACCCCCATCTCCCCACCTCCGCGGTCTCCTGGGATGATCTCCTCTCCCCCCTCTTAAAAAAAAAAAAAAGTGGGATTGGGGGCTGATGAAAAATCCACGCCATGGGGGGGGGTTGTCAGCTAGAAGTGGGAAGAGAGGGATGTGCTTGTAAAATAATAGTAAAAAAAAAAACCAAAATGAGAGAGACCTATCAGTTTCTTTCCCACCCTTCTTTCTCAGTATCTTTCATCTTTTGTATCTAAATAAACAAGGCAGGTCGCAGTGGAAATCCATCGGCCGAAGTCGTGTGGATTTCAAGCCCATGGCGGGGCGGGCAAAGTCAGGCGGAGGGGCCGAGAGTTGGGCTGATGTCGCGAAGGGAGAAAACGGGCGCGAGCGTGAGCCGGCCGGTTCGGGGCTGGCCGCGGAGCTGGCCCCGGGCGCCTGCTCAGCTGCAGCGGGAAGGTCGGCTCGCCGCGCCACCCGCTCGCCGGGCCAGCCGGGGCCAGTGCTTCGTGGCGCGGGAACATTTCCCCGCGGTCCTTGCTCTCGCGGTGCCTCGGTCGCTGTTGCTTTTTTTTTTCTTTTTTAAAATTATTGCAGTAGAAATAAAACATCCTCTGGGTGCCATCGAGACCGCGGGCAGGTTGTGTCCCTGCAGTCCTCCGGGCACCCCGGGCTGGGGCCGGGCTGCCCGCGCGGAGCTGGAGAGGACGGCGCGCCCAGCCGCCGCCGAGGACTGGCTGCGGGGCGGCCGAGAGCCGAATATTTATGTTATATTTTAAAAAAATTTAAATAAATAAATAAATAAATAAATAAATATATATATATAAAGGGGTTCTCCCCTCCCCTGAAAACCCAGCATCAGGAGCCATCTGCTCGGAGCAGTTGCTGCTGCTATCGCGCCTTTGTTACGGCAGATACCTTAGTAAGAATTTGCGGATTTATTATTATTTTGGGGGGGGGAGGGGAATAGATATTAAAGTGGGGTTCGCCCGGGGAGAGGGGTGCCTTGGGAGGGAGGGACGAGGGCGGCCCTTTTATTTTTCACCATTCCATCGTGAGAGAAGACCCTCTGGTTGAATTTAATACGTAGCGTTTGGCAACCAGATCTGAGCCTGGTTTGACCCAGTCCTCTTTTTGGCCAGTTGATATTTGGTTTTTTTTACCAATAATCAATTGCTTATCCCCCTGACCACCTCCCCTCCCCCCTCCTTTAGATGGTGGAGTGGTCGTTAGAATGTCTGTAACTTGCAGATGCCTAATTTCTCCAGGAGGCAATTGGCCCCACATAGCTTCTGTATAATCGCAAGAGTTGTTTTTGAGGAGGGGGAAGTTGGGGGGGGGCGCCGGGGAAGGGGAGTCGTCAGGGGTGCATTGCTAAGCCAGCAGCTTCAGAAAAGCAGCCAGGCGTATTTGCAGTGGTGTGTCAGGGGGAAGAAGCAGGTAGGTCTGCTTGGCGTTTGCTCTCTCCTCTTCTGGCATCCCTGGGACATCAGGAGAAAGCCCGGAGCAGAAGAGCTGGTGGCAGCTGGGTGTGGGGGGTGAGGGGTGCCTGGTGCGCTATCCTTCCCGGCTCCATTTGTTCTGAGTCTCTCTCTGCCTCGCTCAGAGCGCGGCTGGGGAAAGCCAGCGCCGAAGCAGTGGCAGGAGGGAAGCGAGAGGAAAAGGAGAAGGGAGGTGGGAACAGGCAGACAAGAGGGCAAAGGGCATCCTGCCTGCCTCTCAGGGCACAAGGAGCCCAGGGCCTGTGCAGGGGTTTCAGCGGGGAGAGTGGTCCAACCAGTTTCCAGACAAGCCTATTTATTATCAAAAAGCAGCTGGCTTTTCTGTCTGTCCTGTGTCACTCGGGAGGTGGGAGTGCAGGCAGGGGAAAGGCAAGAACTGGGTGCCGTTTCGGCTGCGTGGCCGGTGGGTGCGCTCCTCCACCCTGATGCAGGAGACGTGGGCTGAAGGTGCTCTGGAGTCCTGGCCAGCACAATGGGTGCTGTCACAGCCCTCACCTGGGGCTCACACTTTAGATTTTAAATGTGAAAGGAACCACCTATAACTCGGTACAGCTTCAGCTGGGTGGCAGTCGGCCGGCCTGGGGAGCAGCGGCCTGGGGTTCCCGGGGATGATGCAACCTTAGATAACGGATGGTCTGGGAAACACCAAGAGCACACAAATAGCCTCGATGATCTTGGGGTGGGGGAGTGGAAGGACTCCTTAACGAGCTAGTTAAATTTACAGACAGGGCCAGTGAGAAGAGGAGGGAGGGATGAAAGAGTGTGGGAGACAGCTGGGGAGGAAAACCTGGGCTTCTGGTTTGTTTCAAATGTTTGACCCAGATGGATATGGCTTTTCAAATCGGAGGACAGACACAGCTATTAATAAAAAACAAACAACAACACAGTGACAATAGTGAAGAGGGGAGAAAGGGGGACATTGATGACCAGGCGGAGGGAAGGGCCTCGAGCTGGACAGGGCGAGCGGAGAGTGGTGTGAACACTGGCCCACGAGGGCACTGAGGCTTTCGAAGAGAGCGAGATGTTGATGGTGATCCCACCACCCCGGTGAATGCGATTTTTCGACAACCCGCCAACAGGTTTCTTGGGGAGATGAGCCATTTTCCGTCTGAATTCACCATTTTGCAAAACAACTAGAGACCTAAGATTTAACTCAGAAGTTGGGTTGTGTTCATTCTATGGTTACCTTTAAATTAGGTTTTGCCGTAGCTGTATGTGTGGAAGGCGGCCGGGCTCACAAGGATCTTTACTCCCAGGGGACCCAGTATATCTCCAGTTGCCCACAGATCTTTCAAAATTGGGCCTCCGATAAATTTCATAAGATACAGGCCCCCTTTTTTTTGTAGTTGGCAGGGTGGGGGGGTGGGTGGGGGGTGAAGTTTGTCTCCCTTCTGCACAGAAGGAAACCCCATATCATTAGAAGTGTGATATAAGTCAGCTGCTCCGGTTCCACGGGAGAATAAAATGTGTTCATCAAAGGTGTTATGCCAGCCTGCTTTTATTCATTTGTAATTCGCACCTGAGAGAAAACAGCCGTGAGCATATTTTAACAACCCCTAATATTTTTAAAGGGTATTCTTTGCCTCCCTGAAGATTATGTACCGTTGCAAATTTCTTTTTATTTTATGTTATTTTCCTTTTCGGGGGGGGGGGGAGGTGGCTCTCTGCCTATGCTCTGGCCTTGGTGATCTTTGGTCTTCAAAACAGTTCCTCGTGGAAGAGGAACCACTGTTGCAGGGCTGGAGTGACCACAGCGGCTTTGGGAGGCCTGCCTGCCCTAGGAACAGGGAGGCAGGCCAGGTCAGAGGGCCGGCCGTGGTGCCTTGCTGACCACGGTGCAGGACCGGATGGGTCCTCCTGACGGAAGCAACGGCCAACTCTGGGCGCATTTGACAGTGATCCGCGTTCTGTCTCAGTGAAGGTGGAGCAGGCAAAATAGTCCCTCTGCAGACACCAGCTCCCGACAGTGGAGCGCACGGGTTTCCAGTGCCTTCTCAGAATCCAGCTCTCGGCGCTGGTTTTTCCCTGAGAACACGGCTAGCACCAGCCTTCCCTTTTTCTTTTCATCTCCCTTTCCATCGCTTAGCAATCGCTGTTGCTTGTTGTGATAAAAGACTTTCCAAAATAAACTTTCAGTTGCATTGGCTTCTGGTGGATGGCAGACAAGCCTGAGGAGCCGCGCCGCGCCTGGCGCCGCTTGGCAGCTAGGGGGCGCTCGGCGCCCGTGTCATGGCTCGGCGCCTGGGCTCCGAGGGGCTGGGACCGGCCTTCTGCCGCCAGCCCCGGCCCTTTGCGTGGCTGCAAAATGTCTTAAGTGCGAAGTTGTAATACTGATTTTCATGCAGGGGTTTGAGCAGTAAAACAAATCAGAATATAAGTTTGCGAATCTGTTTTCAAGCTATCAATATTGATGTATAGGCTCCCACTGGGCAGATGGGGGCTTTTAAAAAATTTCTCCTAAAAAAATAAACAATTAAAATGGTTAGTTTTAACCTGTGGCATTGACTTCCTGAAAATTCCTTTAGGTTGCCGAGGCACCCCTGTTCCTGCGAGGGGGACTGGGAAGAAGTGCCGTTTTGTCCCTTTCTGGGCCGCATGTCACACAAGCAGGGGACAGCCGAGAATCGGTGCTTCGGGGAATCATGTACCTAAAACAGCTCGATGAATGAAAATCCTTTTAGCCCGTGTTTTATGATTCTTGGATTCTCAGTTCCATTTGTCAGCTGAGGTTCCCACTGTACTGAGGGAATGGCACCGCTCCCCAAAGACAGAAAGTGCCGACTCGGATAACGTGTGAAACTTCGTTTGGATGGGGGTGTGCTTGCTGGACCCGGCGCTG